AAGCTTATTTGCAAATTTCTGTTTACACATATCTTCATATACAGTTACAGGAGCTCGATGTACATGCCACCTTAATTTATTGATTCCAATTTGCCTAAATTGATCCTATAAACAGCTGGGATGGTTGTTGGTGCTTCAAAGAAAGTCTCAAAATGCTGGTTTAAATCTAAGTGGTTTGGTTGCTTCTTTTTGCCCCCTGTTCAGTTCGTCTTTTCTTTTATTTGTTAAGATTTTCTTTTTTCTATCCTTGAATGAGTATTCGGATTTTTTTTTTTTTGCATTACAAGGAGGCCAAAGGCCAAGAAAGCAGAAAGGTACAGGGATTAAGCAGAGGGGTCTAGGGGGGGAGAAGAGGCAACAATCTGCCGCTCGAAAGTAACACCCATCATATCATCAGTAAGGATCTGGGATAAGCCTGGTGGTGGGTTCGCAAGCTCATATATACCGTAGGGATAGACGAGACTGTGCTTCGAGAGCTAGTCCGCGACTCTATTCCCTTCTCGGTATATATGAGTAATACTCACCAACCACTCCTGGCTTAGCTTCCTGCGAATACCTGAGAGAAGCGTCGCATGAGGATGAATCGGATCATGTCTGGTGTTGATCAGCTGAGTGACCATCATCGAGTCCATCTCAACTCGAAGGGCCCGGCATCCGGACTTCCAAGCGATGTCAAGGCCATGGGCAAGAGCCCATAGCTCAGCCAGAAGCGCCGTTGCCGATCCAATATTTGCAACAAAACCTGTAATCCAGTGTCCCATGGAGTCGCGGAGAGCACCTCCCGTGCCTGCCATGCCCGGATTGCCGTTAGAGGCACCATCAATATTCAGCTTCATCCATCCTTCAGCCGGCGGGGACCAACCAATGTTGGCCAAGGTCCGAGGCGGAGCCTGGTTCCTGGTGCTGGAGAGAGGATCAGGAGCTCGCCACGCTGCATTCCACAAGTTCGTACGCGCCATGATTGAGTTCTCTAGGGAGGGCGCAGACAAAGCCGCATTGACTCCCTTGAAGCAAGCTGTCGTCCGATTTTTCCATAAACACCAGGCGGCCATACCGAAGAAAGCTGGCCACTCAATCCCAGTCGCCGTGGTCCTGTCGCTGAGAAGATTCCACCTGATCCATTGATCGAAGCTGCCGGAGAAGAACTCGTGCTGCTGCTGATTGGGAATACGCCGAGCCCAGAAGAACATAGCTGGTGGGCAATCTCGAAGAATGTGGAGGATAGACTCCTGTTCCCCCGGGCAGCGAAGGCAGTCAGGGCTCGCAGCACACTTCCGAGCAAACCGGAGCGCGTTTGTCGCCAGTTTCCCTGAAACAGTCATCCACATAAAACTTCTAACCCTTTCTGGGACCGGAAGTCTCCAGATTGTCTTCCAAAGTTGCTCATTCACATCCGGATTCCTCTGGTTCAGCATGCTGAAGGCGGACTTGACACTAAATCTCCCGTCCCCAGACGCGGTCCAGAACAGCGTATCCTCGTCCTGCGATAACCTGTCGACAGCAATGCTTAAAATTTTTTGGCACGTGTCTGCTGGAAGGAGGTGCTGGAACATGTCTGTGCGCCATCTGCCATCATCGTCCACGAAGTCAGCCACCAAGGCTCCATCGAGTTCCTCCGGAATCTCGCCAGTCGCCACCTCCTTGAGAGGAACCTGCAAAACCCACAAATCATGCCAAAATTTAGTGCGCCGACCATTCTTAATGTTCCACGCACAACCTCTTTTCAGAAGAGGAGCAGTTTTTGAGAAACTACTCCAAGTGAAAGAACTTCCCTTGATGTTGCGGAGCATGTCGATGCTATCGAAATGGCGGCCATACTTGGAGTGCATTATCCGCGTCCACAGGCTCTCACGATCCTTTATAAGACGCCAGCCATTCTTGGCAAGCATAGCTATATTGGCTTGTCTGGTGCTTCGAAGACCCACTCCACCTTGCAGCTTGGGCCGAGTCATCGTTTCCCAAGCCACCAGGTGCATCTTATTCCCGTCCTCCTCGTCGCCCCACACAAAATTTCTGCTTATCTTGTCAATGTTGTGGCAAACTCCAACAGGGATAAGTTCCGTTTGCATGGTGTAGACGGGAATCGAGGCCGCCACCGACTTAGCCACCGTGAGTCTTGCCGCGAAAGATAACCGCTTAGCCTTCCATGGTGCCATCTTCTTCTGGATCTGCAGGAGCAGGGGCTCATATCTTCCTTTGGTCACTCTCTCTTGGATAGCATGAATCCCGAGGTAGCGACCCAGATTGGCTTTTAGGGGGATACCAGCACCCCTGCTTAACCGCTCAGCTCTCTGACGACTGATGTTGGGAGAGACGTAAATGATGGACTTGCTGAGATTCACCCGCTGTCCCGAGCTTAAGCAGAAATCTTCCAGGCACTTCTTGATAACTCGTATCTGCTTCAACTCCGCTTCTGCAAAGAGCAGCAGGTCATCTGCAAAAAACAGATGGGTTAGAGGAGTACTATCAGAAGTAATCTTAATAGGCTTCCACAATCCATCATTCACCGCTTCATCAATCTTATGAGAAAGCCTTTCCATACAAAGCACAAATAGATAAGGGGAAAGGTGGTGTGCAGTTTTTAAGTAAAGCAAGCATAATTCACAAGGAATGCTATATAATTTAGGTACAACATTCTTATTTTGACCAACTAGAATTCAAGTTTGTTGTGGGAAATGCTGAAACTCTTCAAAGTAGAATCACTGAATCATTTCTTCAACTCCACCATTTCCTTCACCAGCAGATGCTCTGTATGCTTTTGTGGTGTTTATTTAATGTGTTATGCCTTAGAATATTATGGAAAAATTATGTACTTCTCAAGTTTGGTTTCTCCACTAGAAAAAGGTGACGATGGAAAACTTGAAGTTACTAAGTTAAAGAATAATGATTGGATGGTTCACATACCGTTGTTAAGTAGATTGAGGACCAAATTCATCACAATGGATGATCAGGTGCACTTCTGTCAACCGCTGTATCTACGAAACTAGAGTACAAACAAATTTGAACCCAACATTCTCATTATGTAATTTGAGTTGAAAAGATATCACCTTTGCATGGTTTCAATATGTAACTTAAAAATCTAATGATTATTAGACCAAATAGTATAATTTCTTTTAAGGTTGTCCAACGAATTAAAATCTTTGATTTTCTAAAGAATCATTATGATTTCGCGTTAAGTTCATCTTGCCCAATAAGGCCTTTAAAATTTTTGAATGGAACATATGAGATGTGTAAAGACACAAATTCAATATATTGTTTTTAAAAGATATCAAATACACAAATGTCATTGCCTTAAAATTTCTTGCTATGTAACTATCGAATGTCGATACATTTCCCGTGGCGTAGCAGTGGGTATTAATTCTAGTCTCTATTAAAAGTTGAATACAAGTCACAGTGCGACTCACCACGGCGAATTGGAATTGATCAAAGCAGGAAATATGATGAAATGCACATCATCATGTTACTCGATTTCAACCAAGCATGAAACCAACTGGCATCGCCATGGGTGGTTTTATGGGTAGTTAACATAAATGGTCACAAACCTATTTGCTTTGTACAAAACGGTCACAATCCTTTAATTTTGCACGTTTTGGTAAAAAAAGTTCGAAAGAATAACAAAATGGTCAATCCGTCCAAAAATCTGTTACTTTTGCACAGTCAGCTTGACACGTCATTAAATATATTAATAAAAAATTATTTAATTTGGTCTCTTCCCTTTCACCACGACTGCGGCGGCGGCACCGAAGAGGCAAAGCCAAAGCAATTCATCGACTACATCTACTTCACTCTCGCCCGCCGCACCCTGGCATGAATTCTGACTCCAGGCCGCCGTCCTCGCGCTGGATCTGTCGCATATCACGACCAACCCGTCGACGCCGCCATTGATTATGCTTTGTCTAGCGGCGGCGTCCACGTTCTGTATTTGGACGATGGCATCGCCGACGCAATATTAACTAGACCAACCAACTAAACTTCCCTATCCTTCTGAGCTCGGCCAAGAGAAAAGCAAAGTGCCATTGTCTGAGTTCCCTAAATTAAACTCGGACACGGAAGTTGTTGGTGATACCCTTTGGACGGCGGAACCAAAGAGTTCAATTCTTTACCTTTTCGAGGACAATGCCGCTCAAATCTCTATCCAGTCCCCAGATTCAGGAAGAGGTAATAACGACGCTCTGGTTTTGCGTCGCGGTGCCGAGCTCCAGATCCAGGACGCGGACGCCGCCGCGGGACAGAGCATAATCGATGGCGGCTTCGAGGCGGTGGTCGTAATATGCGGCGGACCCGGCAGGCGTGGTGGCGGCGGCTTGGATTCAGAATTCGTCTAGGGTGAAGCTAGGGTGCGGTGGGCGAGAGTGGAGTGGATGTAGTCCATGAATTACGTTCGCTTCGCCTCTCCGGTGCCGCCGCCGCAGTCGTGGTGCAAGGAAAGTGACGAAATTAAATAATTTTTTATTAATATATTTAATGACGTGTCAAGCTGACTGTGCAAAAATAACAGAGTTTTGGACGGAATTGGACGGGATGACCATTTCATTATTCGCTCAAACCTTTTTTACCGAAATGTACAAAATTAAAGGATTGTTACCATTTTGTACAAAGTGAATAGGTTTGTGACCATTTATTATATCTACCCGTGGTTTTATCAGCTAGGCTAGGTTTGTTACATACATCTGAGTTCATTTTCATTTCCTGATGTTTGTTCCGTCTGGCTATCTCTTACCTACAACACACAGCTTGTGTGCTCCCTTTTAATGGAAGCCGTTTAAGAGGTTGCCGAAGAACCAGCCAGCTAGCAGCCGCAGTCTTCACTGGAAACAGAATCACCATACCCTTAGTACTGATGATGATGATGAACTAGCTAGCTTGTATGGTTATGGCAGCCCAAGTTGCTTGCTTGCTATATATACATTCCATAAGCCAAATCATACAATCACCAATACAATTGTGCATCTCTCTCTGCAGAAAGATATTATTCGAATCCTCTGTTGAATTCAGTTCCCATGGCTTCATCTATTTCCTCCTTCCTCTGCTCTAAACTCTTCACTACTCTGATCCTCACCTTCATCCTCCTTCCTTTCGTTCCTCATTCTTCTTCTTCATCATCTTCTTCTTCTCAAGTTGATCACTATATCGTCTTCATGGACTCCAACGCCATGCCCAAGGTCTTCGCTACTGCACGCCACTGGCACCTAGCCATTCTGGCCTCCCTGACTGCCGCCCCTGATAATCATCAGGTAGCTTCCTCCAAGCTGATTCACAGCTACTCCCACGTCATTGACGGGTTTAGCTGTACCCTGACAAGCTCGGAGCTGGACGCCCTGCGGAATTCCGACGGGTACCTCCACTCCATCAAGGACGTCCCGGTCAAGCCCTACACTACTCACTCCGTCGAGTTCCTGGGCCTCCGCGGCAGTGGTGGTTGCTCTGCCTCTGCAGCGTGGGAGGCGTCGAACTACGGCGAGGGCATGATCATCGGGTCGATCGACTCCGGGGTGTGGCCCGAGAGCCGGAGCTTCGGCGACCACGGGATGGGCCCGGTGCCGGCAAGATGGAGAGGCGAATGCGCCCAATTCAACGCTTCCTTGTGCAACAAGAAACTCATCGGCGCCCGATCCTTCCACCAGGGGCTGGACGCGCGGAACATCACCATCGGGAAGAACTCCTCCGCGCGCGATGACACCGGGCACGGCACCCACACCGCCAGCACCGCCGCGGGGAATTTTGTCCCCGGCGCGTCCTTCTTCGGCTACGCCCCCGGTGTGGCCAAGGGAGTGGCTCCTCGAGCCCATGTGGCAATTTACAAGGTCTTTCATCAGGACAAGGGTGTAGCCTCCGACGTCACGAAAGCCATCGATCAGGCGATCGAGGACGGCGTGGACGTTCTGTCCATGTCGCTGGGGCCAAAGGAAGTAGCCACTTCGCTGTACGACGACCCGGTCGCTATCGCGACGTTTGCAGCGATGGAGAAGAACGTCTTCGTCGCTATTGCTGCGGGGAACGGCGGTCCGACTCCAAAATCGCTCAGTAACAGCAGCCCCTGGACGCTGGTGGTCGCGGCAGGGTCAATCGATCGCGAGTTCAGGGCAGAGCTCCATCTCGGGAACAGAGGAGTCTCTGTTTCCGGGCTGTCCCTTTACCCTGGAAGCTACCTCTCGGCCCAAGCTCCGATCGTGTTCATGGGCGATTGCCTGAACGAGACGGCCACGGCTGGCGAAGCCTTGAAGGGCAAAATCGTGGTCTGCCAACATAAGAACCAGATGCTCGGATACCAGCTATCCAACATCCAGAATTCCAGCGCGGTCGGAGCCGTTTTCATAGGACTCGACGCCGAATTACTAAGAGTGTACGTCGAAGACAACCACATGAAAACTTGGTTGCCGGCGATGTTCATGACGTTAGAGGAAGGGGAGGCGGTGAAGAAGTACATCAAGAGCAGCAGCAGCAGCAGCAGCAAGAACCCACGAGTAGCGAGCTTGAGGTTCGGAATCACGAACCTCAACAGGAGGCCAGCGCCAATGGTTGCCGGTTACAGCTCCAGAGGCCCATCGCCGGCCTCCCCGTATGTGCTGAAGCCGGACATCATGGGCCCCGGATCCTTGATCTTAGCCGCGTGGCCTCCCACCGTCGAAGTCGCTACGGTGACGGACTCGAACCCTCCTTTCTACTCTACTCTGTACTCCGACTAACATCCATGGCCTGCCCGCATCTGGCAGGAGTAGCCGCGCTTATCAAGAAGGCGCACCCCGATTGGAGCCCTGCCGCTATCCGATCGGCGATAATGACGACGGCAGACGCATTGGACCTGTCCGACGAACCAATCAAGGACTTCGGCACTCTAGGCAAAACTGCAGCCACCGGCTTGGACATGGGAGCCGGCCAGGTGAATCCAAACAAAGCGGTGGACCCCGGCCTGGTCTACGACCTGCACGCATCGGACTACGTCAACCTGCTCTGTGCGATGAACTTCACCAAGAATCAAATCAAGGCATTCACACGCTCATCATCCGCCGCCGCCGACTGCTCCAACCCGTCGCTCGACCTGAACTACCCTTCGTTCATCGCGTCGTTCGCGAAGAAGAAGAATTACTCCACTAGCTGTCAGCCGAGCGATCTGCAGGTTGCGGAGTTCCATAGGACGCTGACGAATGTTGGTGAAGCGACGGCCTGCTACAGAGCGGTTGTGACGCCGTTGAAAAGGTTCGTAACCAGAGTGGTGCCGGAGAAGCTGGAGTTCAAACATAAAGGAGAGAAGCTCGGGTACAAGCTTGTCCTGGAAAGAGTTGAGGAGTCGTCGTCGTCGCCGGCGGAGGAAGAAGAAGAATTTGTTGCCTCCGGTTATCTGAAGTGGGTTGAAGTTGGGGGTACTCATGTGGTGCAGAGCCCCATCGTCGCCACGATCAATAATTAATCCCCTCTTTGTAATGAAACGGAAAGAAAGAGTTGTTACTTGATTATTATGTAATGATTAAAGATCAATATCCTAATGAAATCAGAGTCTATAAACTAGAACAAGGTGTAAAGTAGACACATATATGCACTTTAATTACCACTTGACAAGCATACAGACAACCGCACTCTGTCAAATCAGCAGCAGAAGTTGCAGAACCAGAAAGCACAACTCTCTACCTAAACAACCCCCCAGAAAGCCAAACCACTCTACCAAAATGAAGTCGGAGACTAAAACGAGCTGAAACCTAACTGCCATATACACCACAAGCTTAGGAGGACACCATTACTGTTCTGACCAGAATTTAACACCAATTTGGTTAATTGTACAACACGATACAGATGCCAATCACGCCGTGGTTGAGACTTGAGAGGTTGTATAGTTGGTTTTCAGTCGGTAGTTCCCAAATTAAAACTCAAATTATATGTAATTTTATTCAAATTCTTAGGATTTTACTTTTATTGTCTCAAATTTAAGCTATAATGAAGTTGTAATAAGCGGGAACCAAATTTTCTCGAATAATTTAACTAAATTTATCATATTATGGTTTGTTTTTTTTTTATTTTTTTCAATGAAAAAATAAATCTTTCTAATGCTTTTCTTGTTAGTTACATATATACACACACATATGGATAGACCTGTCTCGACAAATGACCCGTGATAAATTATCCAATCTAAACCTAACATACAATAGCATGAATATGAATATCGAGATAAACGTTCCGAACTGAACCTGTGTCATTCTTTTTTGAAGCCTCATATTTTCTTTGTCTCCTCCGCAAATGATATGAATGAGGTTTGAGGGTAGGGTGATCTTTCCATTGGAGGTTGGGAAACATGTGAGGGAAAATTAATCCCACACAAATCACAAACGCCGGAGAAAAAGGCCACAACCTCCATGTGACAGTAGAGAAGTGCATTTTCCACTAATTAATTGAGGCTTTCCTTGGTGAGCAAAGAAAGTGACAACCAGTTCAATTAGCAAAACCCTAATGAAACAGTAGCATACTTATGAGTTTAATTATATTCATGGATTAAGTTTTGTATTTAGTTAACACATTCTTAATACATATATGTAGTTTTAGTTATTTCTTTGGGTTAGGTTTTGTATTTAGTTAGGCGAGGGTAACAAATCCTACCATACGATCATAGGGATTGAACTAATGTAAAATGTTGTCATGCGTGACGGGAAATGTTGACGTCTATAAATGAACATTCAAACCCAGTAATCAGGCAAAAACAGAAGATCATGAGCATCAACAAGCAAACTGGTGGAAACTTGATTACATATGCTTATTGAAATAGAGAATATTTGTCTTAGAAAAATTTGAAAAAAGTTTTTACTTATAATATGTCATTAACTATGCAAGTCCTTGGAATCCTCAGATTAAACTCACAAATCGAGATCGAATTAGAACATGGAAATATAAAAGATTAAAATACGACAATTAAACCATTCAAATTGTACCATATGTGATAATATCCTTAATCCTTATGTGATTTCAATTTTAAGATATAAAAAATAATCTCATTTTTATTATATTCTATAAATAATATATTATGCTTTCAATAAAATGTTTCACGTCAATCAAATGACGGATCAATATTAATGAGATCGTCACTGAACATGCAACAAATGTCATTTGCTTTTGTACATATAAACCATTCACCTAACTTATTTTAATTAACAACTATGCATCAAAGGAAGTACATGGAAATCCTTTAAAAAATACTTAAAAGTCCTCCACAAAGACAAATGATATTTAAAAAAAAAAATTCATAAAATAATGTGACAATCGAAATCAAACTATAATCAAAGTATTGGTTTATTCTAACTCAATTAAATATCTATCACTACCCGCCGCAATGCGCGGGCCAATTATCTATCTAGTATAGATATATATAATAAGCTTAATTAGTAATTAGTGGTTAAACACGTGTCTCTCCTATAAATATTGCCATAAAGTGGAGGTGTAAATCAACCCACCTACCTTGTACGAAATAAAATCCAACAATATCAGCAGCCCATCAAATTCAAAGACGCCCTATTCTTCTGCAACGATTTAGTCAATAAACTCCGATCAATCTCTTGATTTTTTTTAAAGATATACCTATATTCATTCCCTTAGTTGTAGCTAGTGATCAACTACATATATATATATTGCAATTCATTTGCAATTTCTTAATCACTACTTTTCCTATTCAGCACGAAGAGTACGTACTAAATCCTAAACTCTAAACCCAAAATTGCAACATGAGGACCGCTAATTTGCCACGGATTCTTATGGCCATCCTGTTCCTGATGGCACTCTCTGTCGTCCATGGCGATGTAGGGAGCGACCAGAAGTACTGGAAAATCCTACCTCGACACCCACCGCTGTACTGCTTGATAGGCGTATTGGGGCCCGGCGACCACGGCGGGGAAGCGTGCTTCTTAGGTGATTGCCCCTTCGCATGCCAAAGGAAATTCGGGATGTTACGATGGTATTCTTATCGTTTCGTTGGACGTTGTTCTGATCATGGGAGAACCTGTAAGTGCTTCTTGCCGTGCAAGGTGATATCGCCGCCGACACCGTCGATGATCCATGATAAAAATTAGGGGGGGGGGGGGGTATAGTATTGAAGTTCGATATAATAATATATGGTAGCTTCTTTAGTCATTTTTGTTTGTTTTGTTTAAAAGATAGATCGGGCTACTTTTTATTTGGTAATTAGACTCTTGATGATCATAATTAGCCATGGTCGGTCGGCATAAATGATGTAGTTTTCTTAGTTCCATATATTAATCGATATGGAGGAATTAGTTATCCAGACATCTCGCGAGTTGTCAAAGTGGGGTTTTCTTTCTTGGTTTTTATTGGTGCTTCTTCGCCTGCTTATGGATTCGTAGCGTCGAACACGCGAGATCTAAATAGTATTTGAGTATTTCTAACTGCGTGGTTTGGAGGGGGCAGGTCATTATCAAAATCCACGACCTTGAATTTGTAATTAATGTAACTTGGGGGGAGAGAAATGAAACTCTCAAGACACAATTAATAGCTTTTTGCTTTGTGTAATTAGAAAATAATAAATAAATATTTTTTTTATACCCAAAATGTCCATGATTAGCAAAAATGCTAACCTCCAAGGGGTTAGCAACATATCTCAAACCCCAAAAGTGGTGTAAGATCTACAAATATACTAGCTTATTTCCCGGCCCGTTGGCCGGATTACTGTATGTTACCCACTTGTGGAATGGGAGAGAAAGCAAGTGAGAGTGAAGGGATTGGGATTCCACTTGATTAGGACCGACCCACTAATCAGATTCTTCCCGACCCGCTCCAACCTAAAGGGTCAGAAAGAGTCAATAAGAAAATACGATCGGAGAGGATTAGTCATATATCTTGACTCTTCAGAAGTGGGTCAAACAGGATCAAGGTTGGGTGAGGGCTATTTTTAGCGCTAAGCAGAGTTCTGGGTTGAATAACTTTACTTAGGCCTAGAAATTGGTGCTGATGCATACTGTAGTTTTTATTATATCATCATCAATCATCATTGAATTAGTCCTGGGCATCCCTCCCCGTTGTCGGTCTGAATTCTAATGATGGCTTCATTCCTTGCACCAGCCATATCAGCGAGTTGTCATCTCGAGCATGATTTGCCTATGTACAAATGATACAATTAGAGTATGAAACTGAATTCAAAGAAAAGGAAAAGAGAATTCTATCACATGCCAATAAATACACACATAATAGTTGAAGCTAAGTGAAAGTCATTACTCGCACATCAATTCTCAAAAATTAAAGACGAAACAATGGCTAGAATGACACTGAAACTACCAAGAATCTTGGACGAAACAACTTGTCAAATTAAATAATCCTTATACTGAAACTACCTTCTAACTTGAAATAAGACATGATCACAGTTCATAGCACTTTTATCACTATGAATTGGTTGCAGCTCGTACTTATCACTGCCTCTCAAGCTCATTTCAAACAGAATAGAGACCGTTATGTAAGATAACCATATCCTTACTGATCATAATTCCTTTCTTCACTCCATTTTTGTCGGAGAAAAGAGTTATCCCCCTCTCCTGCATTTCCCTTTCCCCCTCTCTTCTCCCTCTTCTTCACAAACCGATCCCTAAACCAGCAACAACCAACAACAACAAAAAAATAGCCTTCGCCTCTGCCATCTCCATCTACTGAACGCGTTGGTGGCAAGACAGGACTGCAGAAGCAAAATTTTCTAAAATCAAACTAAATTTTTTGAAGGAGATTCAACCACGAAAAAAGAGTAAAGCAACAATGCTAATAGTTCAGATGGTTGGTTTTGATGTTATACGTTGCTTTTGTTATGGTCTCCAGTATATCAACTGCAACAGAGATGTTTCCTCCAATCATCTTTAGTGCACGATTTAGAAGTCCTCTTGTTTGTGTCAAACGGAAACATTCATGGGTTCTTAACTCCCATGTTAGTGTAAATGCAGCAGCAGCAGCAAAGAAGTTTGACAACACAGCAAGCACCCAGGCAAAATGATACAATGCAGTAGGTGATATGTGTCTCGAAGGTTTTGAGTTACTAAAGTTCATGTTAAAAATAAACATCAATTAAAATGGATTATTCTATTAAGCAAACATCCCCTCTAATCATACAAAGATCAGATATCCAATTCACAAACAATTAAGCCATAAAAAATCATCACACATCCACCACCTTTGATTGCCTAAATTTGGTTTTTCGCAAAGTTATGGACTCTTAAGGGTAACGTTCATGGGTAGTCTGTTTCATAACTCTAGAGAGCACAGTAAGCAGCCACCAGCCAGACACTGTGCGATAGGCGAATATGATTCTCAATTCACAATTTCTCACCACCGGAAGTAAGAACAGACCATAATAAGCGTAGCGTTCATGGGTGGTCTGTTTTATAGCACTACTACACAATTTGTTAGAAAAGAAAGAAAGGTATTTAGCATCACAGCAGAACAACTTTTACAGGCCAACAACGACAACATGCTGCAACCACCGGAACTGGTATCACAACTCATAGGGAAAATCAAAAGATTTACTCTCAAATTAAGTAGTTACAACATCGAGCAATTGTCAAGCACATACACCATCACAAAAGTCACGGAACCTGATTCACAAAGCATTCAAACATTTGAGGACATTTCTGCAAAGGTACAACTTATATGTCTTTTTTCCAAGCCATTTTCATCAACATGCTAATAAATTTGCAATCCATAAAGCAAACGGGTCAAAACTTGAAATTCAGCATGTTTGACCGACTCATGCCAAATTTCAATTATTCTTTACTTTTAAACTTTCTATTTGAAAAAAAAAATAGTGAAAGAAAAGAGACGACTACAATTTGCCATTTGCACATCACTTATTCGGGAATAAAACCATAGAAATTCAAAAGGAACTGAAAATGTTTAGGATCGTTTTACTGTTTAAAATAACCAAAGAGATCTTTATGTTTAGTTTTTTACTAACAAATACCAAACGATTCCCTATAAAATACACTATAATTTTATCATTATGATGTCAAATAATTATAAAAATATATATTTGAAATGATAAAAAATTGGACTAATTGGGTTGGTCGAGGTTGAACCATTGAATAACTTTAAAATACATTATATTTTAGCCACTAAGATATAAAATAATAGCATAATATATATTATGCTAGAGAAAATAGCTTGTTTTAGAATGGCAAACCAATGATGTTCATTTGTTTTACTTGATGGCCAAATCCCATGTAGGTCAGGCCCATTCAACTCTTTTATTTTATGGTTAGCAGTTAGCCCATTAGATACCATGCATTAGTTTATTGTTAAATTTTTTATTTTTAACAATAAAAATGAGTATTATTTTTGCCTTTTCATATATATTTTATCACCACGGAGAAATAAAAGGGTATAAAGAAAAAAATTGACACTCCTAGACCCGTTTAAATCCGCATGTGTACGGTAAGTTGGCCCGTTCCACAGAGGAAAGAGAAAAAAATTGACACTCCCTATTCTACCCTTCCTACAAACGCTCCTGGACAGGGAATTTGAAATGGGGGAAGAGTTTTTTCCACCCTGCTATTATATGTTTTTAATTTAAAAGGATACAACAAATGTACTTAGTGTGATTGGTTATGATCCTTGCCTTTCTTTAAAATGGTCATGGTTCGAATTCCAGTACGTATCTTTTTAATGAATAAAAAAAAAGTAATTGTGAAGACCAAAATGTCCTTCCTACTTTCACTCTCGTTGTAGGAGATTTGAAATGGGGCTCCCGTTTTTCCCTTTGGCGTATTATAAGTATAGTAGAGATAGATAGATAGATAGGGGACGAGATACAGTGACAACCCACTTCATAGCCCTTAGATAGGGATGAGATACGGTGACAACCCCATTAGGGGTTGTGAGATTGACAACCCATTTTATAACCATAGGATTCATTCTCTCTCTTGTCTCTTTCTTCTTTTTTCAAATCAATGGTACAGATTGGATTAAGGGTATTTTTGGACGAAAAAAATTGACCACACTAGATTTTTACCCCTTATTAATATCTAAAACCCTACACTCTCTCTTTCCTCTCTCTCTCTCTCTCTCTCTCTCTCACACCATCTTTCTTCTTCCTATTCTTCTTCTTCTTCCTCCCATCTCTTCCCTCTCTCTCTATTGGCTGCCACCACCGTCGTCGCTGCCGACCCGCCACACCCTTCGCCTCTCATCACTGATGCAGCCCTCCAGTCGTCACGCCCTCCGCCTCCCAGCACTGTCACGTCCCTCGCCTCGCAGCCATCGCGACCTCCTCCTCCACCACCGCCGCGATGGCCTCCCACCTCCACCGTCACAACCCTCCCGCCGCCCTCTGTCTCCCACCACCGTTGCCACGAGGTCACCGCCTCTCCCCTGCCTCCCCCTTTCGTCATCCCTATTTTTTTTTCTCCAGATCTGTGATTTTTCATAATTCAGATCTGATTTTTTTGTGTGCTTGTCTCTAAGGGTACGCTACCAGTGGCAATGGTACCGCTACCAGCGGCAATGGTACCGCTACCAGTGATACTGGTACTGATACCGCTACTAGTGGTACTGGTACAGCTACCAGTGGTACTGGTACAGCTACCAGTGGTACTGGTACTGCTAATGGTACCGCTACCAGTGGTACTGGTACCGCTACCGGTGGTAATGGTAGCGTACCACTAGCACTGGTACATTTTTTAACGCACTAGTAGCGTACCACTAGCACTGGTATATTAATTACCAGTAGACTAATAGATTGGTACACTTTTTAACGCACTGGTACATTTTTTCAGGTTGCCGGAGGGAGTCTGCCGGAGAGAATTCGTCGGAGAAAAAGTCTGTCCGTCGAAGCGGAGTGGCCGCAGGAGAAAGGAAGAGAGAGAGATAGATAGAGATATTAATGTATAGGATTTCAATTTAAAAAAAAATTATATTTAATATGAGTTTTTAATTCTCAATCTGATTAATACAAAAAAGGTAATTAATATATTCCTTTTATTCATACCCAAAATACCCTTGGTTGTCAATCTGACAACCCCCTTAGGGGTTGTCACCATATCTCGTCCCCCTTAGATACGCTCTCTCTCTCCTGTTTCTTTCTTCTTTTTTCAAATTAACGGTTAAGATTAAAAGAATGGTATTTTTGGAAGGGTAAAAATTTACCACACCCAATCATTCACCCTACCATATAAATAGTAAAAAACCCTAACTCCTCCATCCTCCCTCTCTCTCTCTCCTCCCTCTCTCCTCCCTCTCTCCCGCAACCATCACCATCTCTCCTCCCTCTCTACCGCAGAGCCCTCCGCTGCCACAGCCCTCCACCGCCGGCGTCGGCGCCCCTGTCTTCTGCAGCCGCCTGTCGAGCCTTCTACCGCCGCCATCTCCGCCATCCTCAGCCTCCCTCCACACCCTGTCGTTGCAAATCTCTCTCGCCGGCCCATCGCGGCACAATCATCTTTTCCCCTTCGTCCCCCACCCCTGCCGCCGTCGCGAGGTAACCCTCTCCCCTCTGCCTCTCTCTCCCGTCACCAACTGCCCTTTTCTAGATCTGGTTTTTAGTGGTACCATTTTTCTTCTGGTAGCGTACCAGTGATAGTGGTACCTACCACTACCATAAGGTAGCTGGTAGTGGTAGCGTACCACTATCATCTGGTACCACTATCATTTTTTGTTTGTTATTCTCTACTGGTACCGCTACCAATGCTAGTGGTACGCTACCAGTGCTAGTGTTACGCTATCATTAGCATTGGTAGCGTACCACTAGCACTGGTAGCGCTTCCCGTGCTAGTGGTACGATACAATATGGTAGTGGTAGTGTTGTACTGGTAGCGTACCACTAGCACTGGTATATTAATTACCAGTAGACTTATGGATTGATACACTTTTTAACGCACTGGTACATTTTTTCAGGTTGCCGGAGGGAGTCTGTCGGAGAGAATTCGCCGGAGTGGCCGCTGTAGAAAGGAAGAGAGAGAGATAGATAGAGATATTAATGTATAGGATTTAAATTTTAAAAAAAATTGTATTTAATATGGGTTTTTAATTCCCAATAGAATTAATACAAAAAAGGTCATTAATATATTTCTTTTTTTCATACCCAAAATACCCTTGGTTGTCAATCTGACAACCCCGTATCCCGTCCCGATAGATAGATAGATTATAGCCGAGTTGAGGGCAGTTTTTCAGCATTTCAAATTTCCTGCAACGAAAGTGAAAGTAGGAAGGGTAATTGTGTCATCACAATCATTTTTTTATTTTATATTCATAAAAAAATGCATCAATCTCGGGATTTGAACCATGGTCTTTCCAAACTAAGACAACAGCCATTACCAATAGGGATGAACAAAGTAATATGAAAACCGACCTACCCGACCAACCCAACCCGACCCACCCGAAAACATATCATGGGAACAAATTTGCAGGTGGGTGAGGGTTTGATTTTAAGGAATTTAATTTGTTGCGGGTGGGTTCGGATTCAGATTTTTGTAACCCGCAAAACCCAACCCGACCATATATGTCATGACTCATGCGTGTAGCAATTAGGTGGGGATATATAAGGGAATTGGAGTTCCCAAAATTAGGGTTCCTCTTTTGCTGCTCTTTCTCTTCGGGCGGCCGCAGCAATCTAAAATGGTCCATCCATGGACCTAGTTCTTCTTTCCTCTCTACCCCATAAATCCACCACTACCAAAGTCATCACCGGGAGCACAACAAGCTATACAACCCATTCTTCTTGCTTGGCGCTTGCATCGGCCAAAACGTCCCACCCTCCCAGCGCAGTAACTCCAGCTTAGTAACGCAACTGTAATCCGACATTCCTTGACGCAGTCATTTCCTAGTTCCAAATCGATTCAAGGTAATAGAAAACTTCTATCTTAGGGTTTCTTTTCTCTCCCTCATGCAAAATGGCTTGAGTTCATTATCACTTGATTTACCCAAACGTATAGCTAATTTGAGTTCATTATAGGTGAAAACTGAGATATGTAAATGGTGAAAACTCACATTGGGAAGATGAACTCTAATAGAAGACCAAGAGAGAGCAAAGAGCTCTAATAAAAGAAGATTGAACTTCCACAGCTGCTTTCATTTGTTCATGCGATCCTTCAACTTCCAACGGTAGAGTATCCTGGATTGCATTCACTACCACATAGGAAACTGGCTTGTTTCCAAGTGATCCGGCTGCTTGGACCCCGGAAGATACTATTTCGGTAACGTTATTGTCTATTGAAGCATCAGTAGGTACAGATATGTCTTCAATTGGAGCCACTTCATTATGGATTTCTTGAAAGTCGTTGACCTCCTGCTTATCAGATTCTGGGTTCCCGACAACTACAAAACTGGCATTAAGGATTTGTCCAGCTTCAGCATTGTCATCAGCAAGCCAATGAGAACTGAGAGAAAATTCTTCATATTAACTGGGACTAGGACGTTGATCAGATTGTACTGTAGTTCCATTGGGTGCCAAAGCTGAAGAAGAATGATGTTCTGTGGATATTGTGCCCCGGGATACTGCTCTGACCACTCATGAAAGTCTTGCTCTGCGGGCAAAAACTTAGCAGGACCAAACACACGATTTTCTTGGATGATTTCTCGAACAATCTCACGGACTGTATAGAATGACCCACCAACTTCCTTGTGGGTGAGGTTAAGAGAAGGAAAGTTCCCATTGTTTAAACTCTGATACCTACAAGGAGAACCACCATGTCATTGCCGCAATCAGGTACCAAGTCTGCAACTAAGAGTGAAAAAAATGGACTGGAAAGACGCAACACATCCGGAAAATGGAGGGTAGAGACTTCCATATCTCTGCCACAAATTGTATATTTCATCCACAATTTACCACTAGGCCTTCAATTCAAGACATCAACAGACAAAAAGCAAGAGTACTTGTTGATAAGGAACCAGGATGTACTTCTTTATAATAAACAATTCAACCATGCCCTTACTTTCCTCCTTTGAACGGCGGATGCTAGACTTCCTCCCTCCAGACTCATTAGATTTGAACAGGGCGAACGTCTGGCCAACCCAACTTCCCTTTATAGCATGCATGATACTATATGCCAAGTCAAAGGTCTACGAGTACATAAACCTACAATGCACTTAATTAAGTCAGAGCAATCTCATGGCAAACTAGCTATACAAAGAAGACAGAAAGATGTACTAAAATTCAGAAATTTATTTGGCATATAGAACTGCAAGACAGCCATAGGCCATAGCCTCTTCGGTGGACATTTGAACAAGGATTTAGAAAGCTAACACTAGACTAGACATACCAACTTCCGGAAGAGAAAATATCAAGACTTCCACAAGGGCCGTGACTTGATGCCAGAAACTCCACTTTTTCCCCACTCTCTACTCCACCATTTCCGAATAGAGAAACTTACTCTTGAAGTTTGATGAGGTTTGCAACCATGAATTGCAAAATGCCAGGCTTTACAGGAAGAACTTCCACTGCCGCAATGCATATGAACTCTTTTCGGGATGCAAGTGCAAATGAATTTCATCGATAGCCCGCCAACTGAATTCAAGTCATCCTAACTATGACGGCTAAAGCTGCCTAAAAACCCCATTCCGGAAAGTTTCCAGAGCTCCAATGATAAACAACCCCCGCGCCGCCGGAGATTTCCTATAACTTCAGCTGCCTCCTAATCCACTGAAGCAGAACCCAACAAAACCCTGAACGGGGTCGTTTGGATGAGGGAATGTGGTAGGATTGTAGTGCAGGATTTTAAAACAATCCCACACAATGAGGGATTTTAATCAAATAACACGTTTGGGAAACCTAAAGAATTGTGATTATTAGGAATTTTAAAAACCTGCATATGTGGGATTGTGAAATAGCTGATGAGGGTCAGCTATTTTGAAATCCCTCATTTTTTATTTATTTATTCCAAACTTATCCTTCACCTACAACACACCCTCTTCGTTCTCTTCACCCATCCTCACCGCCGGTCAAACCTTGCCGCCGTCGCTCTCTCTCCCCGATTTCGTCCAATCTCGCCGTCGACCTCTCTCCTTGAAGTCTCCCTGGTCCACCGGAGCAGTTGGAAACTCGGAAATCGCTCAATCTCCCCGATGTTGCACAGGTCACGGTCGCGCACATATCGACCTCTGTTTCCTCCATTTCCAAAGATGATGTCGGCAAATGGCGAGGATGCCGATTTGAAAGGAAGAATCAATTGGTTATAATAACCTAACGCCAGCTTTCCGAATCAACCGTTAAATTTCGACCAAACAGCCATTCCAAAAGGAGGATGCTGTTTCTGTTTCCCTAGTTTTCTGAAAAAGGAGCCCACCCTTGGCGGCGGCGGAGGTGGGGGCGGGGGATCGGCCGGAGCATTCTGGCGGCGAATCAGGCCTTTGGATTCGTCTTCACCGGCGTCGCCGTGGTGGTCGAAGAGCTGGAAGAAGGTTCGTGGGTTGTCGGAGGGGCCGAGGTGGAAGAATTTGGTGCGGCGGTTTAATGGGCGGAAGCGGCAAGGGTACGGGAAATTCAATTACGACGCTACAAGCTACGCCCTTAATTTTGACGAAGGACCAGTGGCTAGCGGCGGCGATTACGACGAGGATATTACCGCAGCATCCCATCAATCTGGTGGGTTTTGTCAATTTTGGTGGTTCGATCGTCTGGTGGAGAAAGGAGAGCAACGTTGGCAGAGGAAGAGGAAGATGGGAAGAAGGACAATATTGTATTTTCAATTCTTATATTAAAATCCTAGGTTTACTTCCAAACAAGTTATTTCATTAAAATTCCTGATGTAGAAAACCTAGGTTTTTAAAACAAGAGATTTGAGCTCAAATCTCTCTTAAATCTCTCAAATTAAAATTCTGCATCCAAACCACCCCAACACGAAATGTAGAAGAAGGAATTTGCGCGGTGGGTTACCTCTCGATTATCGCAGAGACACAGGGAGCAGGAGATTAGGTTTTGGGTTTTGCAGTCCACTCTAAAACCCTACCACCAGAGAGAGTCTTGTTTGATTCATGGGAGAATGACTGGTTCACTGTGACTGAAGTCGCGGTGGTTACAGAGTTACAGTCGTACAGCTATCTTCCATGGCGACTGGAGAGAAAACAGGAGGGAGGGAGGGACGGGTCAATGGTTCGGATCACCGGATCCGTCCTACGAATTTCGCACTTACATCCAATTTGGGCCCGGCTGGCCAGATAAATCATTATTGGGCCCCAAAAGGGGGTCCGAAATGGGCCTCATTGCTCGTTATCTCACTCACTTTTTGTAATTTGGGTTCAACCTTTCCCAGCCCGGCTGACTCCGTGGAAAGAAATGGAAATGGGAGGACCACGGTCGATACAAGGGCTCAAGATAGGGTGCATAACCATGGGTTATGCACCCATCAATAACCAAATCTGGACCCTTCATTTAGAAAATCCAGATCTAAAGATGGAGAATTAAAGACTATTTTTATTTTCACTAGCTTTCTTAATTGACTCATATCTTTTTCGTTTTAACTCGGATTTTAATTTTTTTTGCACAGATGGAACGAGTTCACCGTGCTCTACAAAATGAGATCAATTTTCAATGTTTTTTGAGGAAAAAAAATTATGGCCTCTCGGTACCAACTGCATACCATATGGTATTTTCTTCGTTTTTAATTCGTTTTTGAAAACGTTTGCACAGCAGGGACGAGTTCATCATGATCTACTGGATCTACAAATTTCTGGGTGAACAAAATACAGGACCAAAAAATACCACACAATACCATACAATACCACCCTGGTACCCTGGTACGGGGTGGTATTGTATGGTATCTTGTTCGTTTTTAATTCGTTTTTGAAAACGTTTGCACAGAAGGGACGAGTTCATCATGATCTATTGGATCTACAAATTTCTGGGTGAACAAATTACAGGATCAAAAAATACCACACAATACCATACAATACCACCCTGGTACGAGGTGGTATTGTGTGGTATACAATGTTAAAAGTAGTAAATTACAATTAATATACTTCTACTATCATGTATTCAACCATCCTACAGTATTGGTTTGTTCATACCACCATGGTACGTTTTTCAAAACATAGGTATGCTTTTATTTCAATACCAGTCAATACCATATGGTATAGGCTGGTAAAAAATGGCTCAATTTTTTTTGTTCGAAAAATATATTAAAGTGGATATCATTTTGAAGAGCACAATTAATCTGATCTAACTGTGCAAAAAAAATTAAATTTCGACTTAAAATGAGCGAGAAATCGTCCATCAAAGATTAAAGAGGGAAAAATTAAAGGCTTTCTATGAGAGAGAGGATGCTGATGTCATGCTGATGTGGACGGATTACTCATAGTTACTCACCATAAGGTTACTGACCTGATCCATTCCCCGATACAAGAAACCAATTTGGTTAATTGTACAACACGATACAGATGCCAATCACGCCGTGGTTGAGACTTGAGAGGTTGTATAGTTGGTTTTCAGTCGGTAGTTCCCAAATTAAAACTCAAATTATATGTAATTTTATTCAAATTCTTAGGATTTTACTTTTATTGTCTCAAATTTAAGCTATAATGAAGTTGTAATAAGCGGGAACCAAATTTTCTCGAATAATTTAACTAAATTTATCATATTATGGTTTGTTTTTTTTATTTTTTTCAATGAAAAAATAAATCTTTCTAATGCTTTTCTTGTTAGTTACATATATACACACACATATGGATAGACCTGTCTCGACAAATGACCCATGATAAATTATCCAATCTAAACCTAACATACAATAGCATGAATATGAATATCGAGATAAACGTTCCGAACTGAACCTGTGTCATTCTTTTTTGAAGCCTCATATTTTCTTTGTCTCCTCCGCAAATGATATGAATGAGGTTTGAGGGTAGGGTGATCTTTCCATTGGAGGTTGGGAAACATGTGAGGGAAAATTAATCCCACACAAATCACAAACGCAGGAGAAAAAGGCCACAACCTCCATGTGACAGTAGGGAAGTGCATTTTTCACTAATTAATTGAGGCTTTCCTTGGTGAGCAAAGAAAGTGACAACCAGTTCAATTAGCAAAACCCTAATGAAACAGTAGCATACTTATGAGTTTAATTATATTCATGGATTAAGTTTTGTATTTAGTTAACACATTCTTAATACATATATGTAGTTTTAGTTATTTCTTTGGGTTAGGTTTTGTATTTAGTTAGGCGAGGGTAACAAATCCTACCATACGATCATAGGGATTGAACTAATGTAAAATGTTGTCATGCGTGACGGGAAATGTTGACGTCTATAAATGAACATTCAAACCCAGTAATCAGGCAAAAACAGAAGATCATGAGCATCAACAAGCAAACTGGTGGAAACTTGATTACATATGCTTATTGAAATAGAGAATATTTGTCTTAGAAAAATTTGAAAAAAGTTTTTACTTATAATATGTCATTAACTATGCAAGTCCTTGGAATCCTCAGATTAAACTCACAAATCGAGATCGAATTAGAACATGGAAATATAAAAGAATAAAAATTAAAATACGACAATTAAACCATTCAAATTGTACCATATGTGATAATATCCTTAATCCTTATGTGATTTCAATTTTAAGATATAAAAAATAATCTCATTTTTATTATATTCTATAAATAATATATTATGCTTTCAATAAAACGTTTCACGTCAATCAAATGACGGATCAATATTAATGAGATCGTCACTGAACATGCAACAAATGTCATTTGCTTTTGTACATATAAACCATTCACCTAACTTATTTTAATTAACAACTATGCATCAAAGGAAGTACATGGAAATCCTTTAAAAAATACTTAAAAGTCCTCCACAAAGACAAATGATATTTAAAAGAAAATTCATAAAATAATGTGACAATCGAAATCAAACTATAATCAAAGTATTGGTTTATTCTAACTCAATTAAATATCTATCACTACCCGCCGCAATGCGCGGGCCAATTATCTATCTAGTATAGATATAGATAATAAGCTTAATTAGTAATTAGTGGTTAAACACGTGTCTCTCCTATAAATATTGCCATAAAGTGGAGGTGTAAATCAACCCACCTACCTTGTACGAAA